CTGATGAAGGGTCTAGGCCCGAAACGTCAGCCTTCCTGCTCCTATGATGCTGCTTGGCCTGCTGTGTTCATCCAGCTCTACACCTTGTAATCTCAGATTCTCCAGCATCTGCAGTTCCTACTATGTCTGTTGGTGATATCTTTTGTCCGCAAATGCTTTTCTACATAAATTTTTGTTTTTGTTTCAGATTTTCAGCACCTACAATTCTTTTGTTTTTCGGTGACTCGAATCCACTCTGAATGACCCAGTGAATCACACAGGAGCTGTTGGTGTCGCTCTTCCTCATCTAAGGCTCAAGGTGGAGCTGCAGAAGTTGCACCCATGCTGTGGGGGAAGCGGGAAGGGTGGTCAATACCTGGACATGGGGCATTAATTCCTGGAAGCTGAAAAATCACCTGTCAAACCATGAAATCCCACTTTTTAATAAGGGCCCTGAGCAGGAGCTTCTCAATTGGATATGGTTGCACCTCTTTAGCATATCTGTTGGAAAGTTTCCCAGACCAACAGTGTCACGGCATAAGCAGCCCCTCCGTCCGCTGATTACCTGTTTCATACTGACTGTTTGCATTCCGAACAGTTAAAATATCAACAAGTGAGTTAGGCTGGTTAATAGCCTGTGGAACCAATCCCTACCCTGTCACTCAAACCATTCAGTGAGGTGCCTGGACCAATCTGAACAGAGGTGTCTCAGAATTAACACAGAGATCCAGCATCCAACAACAGCTGGCTGTGTGGTGGTCATACACACTAGCACCAGAATGAAGACCAATGAGCCATTCAGCTTCCTTATTGCTCACTGAACTTGCACGCTCACTGTCTGGGCTCCTTGAACAAGTGCACTTCTGAACAGCAACATTTAAATGTTTACATTTAGAACAGGAGATTTTTTTTTTTCTATTTTGCTGCACTCATTCAAAGCAGAATGCATCTGTCCTCAGCTCCAAGGTTTTTAAGCATCAATACTTCTGTGTATATTTGACACATATCGTGTGAGATCATTTGCATTCTGCACCTTATGCTGGCAGATATTTAATTGCTAAACCATCAATAATGTGAATGCAGAAGTGAATGCTTACTCCATCCCTTTATAGTCCACACCATGAAGAGGAATCCTCTCTGACTCCTCATTTACACAATGCACATTTCAGAAACACAGCCAAATATAAATAATCTGCTCTTTTGCCTCGATGTTTCATGAAGTGACACAGCAGAATGACTAATACAATCAATACAACTCCTTCATTTCAGATCAGAATTAAAAGCAAACCTCTTCCATAGGGGTTTACTCCCATTTTTAAAAACACTCTGTCGTATGTGAGTGGTATCAGTTACACCAGTATTTCTTTCTCCTGAAAAGGGAATATTCAGCAGACTCCTTGAAACGCTGCATTCCATGTAGAGGACACTGAAGATTGCACAATCAACATCCCATTTCTGCTCTTACGATGGAGACAAGGTCACTGATGAAGCAGCTGAAGATGCAGCCTAGGTCTCTAGCCTAAGGAACTCCTGCAGAAATGTAATCGAGTTGAGAAGATGGACATCAAACAACCACAATCACCATTTTTTGTACCAGGTATGACTCTGACCAGCAGAGAAATTTCACCGAATCCCATTGATTTCCAGGCTCCTTGATGCTATGCTCAGCCAAATATGGCCTTGATATCAGAGACAGCCAGTACTGCAGTACTCCTAGTTTCTGACCTGCTCCTGTAGCCACTGTGCTTGGGTAGTGACTCCAATTAAGTTTCTGGTTAATGGCAATCACCAGGATTTTGATAGTGGGGCATTCAGTGAGAGTAACATCTTTGAATGTCAAGGACAGTGGTTAGATCGTTTCATGTTGGAGATGGTCACTTCCCGACATTTGTGTGGTGCAAATGTTGCTTGCCATTTGTATGCCCAAGCCAGCTTATTGTCCAGATCTTATGGTATTTGGATATGGACTTCTTCAGTATTTGAAAAATTGCAAATGATGCTGAATATCATACAATCAATCGATTATAATCCTTACTTCTAACCTTATGATGAAGGGAAGATCATTGATGATGCTACAGAACATGATTGCACTTAGGACACTACCCTGAGGATCTCCTGCAGAATATTCTGGAGCTGATCTGATTGATCTCCAACATCCACAACCATCTTCCTCTGTGACAGGTATGATTCCAATCAGTGGAGGGCTTGTCCCACAATACTCATTGACTCCCACTGATTCCAGTACAGTTGGGGTCCTTGATGCCACACTCCATCAAATGCAGCCTTGATGTCCAGGTTGTCGATCTCAACTCACCTCTGGTATTCAGTTCTTTTGCCCATATTTGCACCATAGTTCTCATGAAATCAAGAGTTGAGTGGCTCTAGTGGAACCCAAAGTATGCATTACTGAGCAGGTTATTTCTAAGCGAGTGCTTGGTAGTACCATTGATGACACTGTTCATCACTTCAATGATGGAATAAACTGATGGAACAATAGGATAGACTTTGTCCTGATTTGTGTGTACAGGATATAGCAGGGAAATTTTCAACATTGTCAGGTCAATATCAGTGGTGTAGCTGCACTGAACTTGTTCAAGAAACAGCAAGTATTGGAGCATAAGTCTTCAGCACTATTACTAGAATCTTATCAAGGCTCATAGGCTTGGTGGTATCCAGTGATGCCAAATGTTTGTTGATACCATGTGGATTGATTCAAATTGCCTGAAGACTGGCATCTGTGATGCTGGAGACCTCTGAAGGAGGCAAATGCTTCAGCCTTATGTGCTATGTGTCTCTCATCGCCATTTATTTCTGCAGTTCAATTAAAAAACTTTACTTATAAAATCTCATTCTTCACCACAATCTCTGTATATGGATACTGCTCACTAGTAGCCCACCTCATGCTGGCTTGGACTGCTTTGGCCAAATGACTTGTTTCTATGCCATATACCGTGCCTGTGGCAGTGTTGGCTGCAGTTCAATCAAGGAGACTGAACTGCTTCAGCAATATCCACTTTCACCTGAATATCATAGTCTGGAACGATGGATAGTGATAAGAACTAGGAACAGGATTATGACATTCAGCACCTCGAGCCTACTCCAACATTCAACTGGTTCATGGCTGATCTGACATTCCTCAGGTCCATTTTACTGTCTTTTCCCCGTATCCCCACACGGATTGAGAATCTACCGATCTCAGCCTTAAATATATACAAGAAATCTGTCCCCACAGCTGTAAATGGTAAGGAATTCCAAAGACTCTCAGCTCTCTGAGAAAAGGAAGCCATCCTCATTTCAGTATTAAATCTTCTGCTCTGAAACTATGCCCTCTGGCCCTAGACTGACCCATGAGTGGCAACATCCTCTCAGCATTTATCCTGTCAAGCCCCTTAACAATCGTATCTATTTCAATGAGATCATCATTCACTCTTCTAAATTCCAGTGAGTAGTATCCCAACCTGTTTAGCCTTTGCTTATGAAGGAACCCCTCTACACTCGGCATTATATTTGTTAACGTTCTATGAACTGCCTTCAATGAAACTGTGTCTTTCCTTACATAAGGAGTCTGAAACTGTTCACAGTACTCTAGGTGTGGTCTCATTAGCACCTCGTACAGTTACAGTCTTGCCTACTCTTTTTCTTTAACATCTTTGAAATAAGGGCCAACATTCCATTACCTTTCTTGCTGCACTTGTGTACTAGCTTTGTGTCAGTGCACAAGAAACCCCAAGTCCTTTTATGTTGCAGCTTCCTACTGTTTTTCACCATTTAAATAATTTTGATCTCCCTTCCAAAATGAACTCGGCATTTTCCCTCATTATTCTCCATTTGCCAGCTCTTGCCCACTTCAATAACCTATCAATATCTTGCAACTTGCCATTCCACCAACTTTTGTGTCATCTGTAAATTTGGATTTAGTACATTCACTTCCTTCCTCCAAGTCATTGTGCGAGATAATCTGGTTTCTTTTCATTACATGAGCAGGAACCTCTACGGCTCTTCCCATGTGCCACTCGTGTGTGTTGGAAGGATTTACAGGTTGATTCTCCATTTGGTTGACATCATGCATACAACCTGATTTTATCAAGCCCTGGAGTGAGACTCCATGCTGGAGTTTCTGACTCAGACGTCATTATCCATTGCATTACCAGACCTCCCCTATGCATATAATCCCACATTTGTTATTTTAGCCTCAGCCAAACATTTGACTTAGTCACATGGTCAACTGCTCTCATAGAACAGGCATATGGTTGTGGTGAACCGGAGCTGATCAAAATGGGCTGATGTGATCTTAAGATGTTAAACATGTCCTTCAGGTGAGGAGCTTTGTGGGAAAATGGGTGAGTGTTTGGATGAGGATTGTGCTGCAGATACGCACATCACTGAGCACTGAATCAATTAAGGACACTGGTTATGGCTGGCCACAGTTTGAACTTCTTGGATTGATATTCATTTACAGAAGTGTGACATTTAAAGCCAAAGCAGAAGGCAGGCAGGCAATGTTATGGTAATATCACTGGACCAGTGGTCCAAAGTGTCAGGATATGCTCTGGGGAAATGGGCTGAACTCCCACCATGGCAGTTTGTGGGTTTGGAATTCAATGTCTACCTTTGGATTATAAAGCTAGTCACAGTAATAAAGCTGCCATAGATTTACCAGGCTATAGGGCAACTCTCATTAGAGAGTGACCACTGGAGGTGACCTGAGGGTTACCTCAGTTGAAGGGAGAGGTTGAGAAGGAGAGTCGTTCATAGTAACTTCACCTGGTGCAGGAATTGAACCCATGCTGTTGGCACCGCTCTGCATTACAAACGTGCCATCCAGCCAACTTAGTTAACCAATCCGCATTTGCAGTCAGATTGGCAATGATGAAAATATATCTGGATCACTAATGGAAATCTGTTGTTACTACCTGGTCTGGGCTACACATGACGCCAGACTCACCGCAGTGTAGTTGACTTTTAAGGGAGCTGAAGAGGGATGAGGATGGACAACAAATACAGGCCTTTCCTATGACACCCACATACCATCAAGAGAAAAACAGAACACTGTCTGGACAGTAACCTTCAAAAATTCATCATCGGCTGGGAAACACTTTGAGATCGCTACTGGTCATGAAAGATGCTATATCATGTAATACTGTTTTTCATTTCTACATTCCTCTGATATTCACTTACCTTATCACAGTTCCACCGTTTATTCATAACATTCGTAAAGTTCCCTTACAGAACAGCTCAAATTGGACATCGTCTAAACAATAAGACAGGTTATAAGTAGCATAAGCAGCAAGTGATAGACAGAGCTAAGCAATTAGACAACCAATGGATTGACTACGCTCTGCAGTCTTGTTTAACCCAGTCATCATTGGTGGTGAACAATGAAACAACTCACTGATAGAGGCTCCGCAAATATGTCCATCCTCAATGATGGAAGCACCCAACACTTTAGTGCAAAAGCAAAGGCTGAAGCATTGACAAAAATCTTCAGCCAGAAGTGCCAAGAGGATGATCTATCTCGGCCTCCTCCAGTCGTCCCCAGCATCACAAGGACCAGTCTTCAGTCAATTTGATTCTCTCTATGTGATATGAAGAAACGGTTGGAGGCAGTGGATGATGAAATGTCTATGGGCCCTAACAACCATTCTATCAATAATGCTATAGACTTGTGCTCCAGAAATTGCCACTCCCCTCACCAAGATGTTCCAGTGCAATTACGGCATTGGCATATATCTGATAATGTGGAAAACTGCCCAAGTATGTTCAGTGCAGAAAAAGCAGAAAAAAAATCCAACGCAGCCAATTACCACCCCATTAGACTGCCCTTGATCATTAGTAAAATGTGGAAGGTATCATCAACAGTGCTATCAAGCAGCCCCCGCTCTGCCGGGCCACTCAGCTTCTGTGTTTATTACAGTCTTGATTTAAACATTGACAAAAGAGCTGAAGTGGACCACAAGTCTCAATTATTAACCTCCAGCACCTCCCAAGACCCTGACCTGCTCTGATAGAAATTCTGTTCCTACATGCAGTCGCCAGTTTACATTTAAGCATATTGCTGCTTTTTGAAAGCTGCAAGTTACTGTACCTTTAAAATGTACCGAGGTTATTGCACTGTCAAAGAGAGAGACCGGTCTTTACAACGTATCAGGAAATGGATCAGTAACACAATCAATTAAGCAAGGTTATTCTTATCCAAAATATTGAAGAAAAACAACTCTTTTCACATTAGATAATGTTTCTTTCACAACAAGTTCATAACAGGATACATCTGTCCCAAACTTTGCATTTTTTGTCACAGTTTGATGATATCTGACACACATCCTTTCAAACCTCATGTGAACATTTGCATACTGCAACTTAAACTTGTACACAAACTATTACCAAGTATTTGTTATTAAGAATCAGGAAGGAAAAAAAAGACTTAAAACATACATATTCGAGTCTCATCGACAGGTCTACTCCCCACAACATCCTGCCATCAACACTAATCTTGCTCAGTGGCCAGTGCACAGACTCTGAACAGGAGCAGAAGAAATAAGAAGATTTAATCAAGGGTTTACAAAATTAAGAAGTGCCTTGATGGAGTCAATTGTTTTTCTCTATCTGAGGAGTCAGTGAAGGTAACAAATGATTTTAAGTAGTGACTAAGTGGGGAGAGAGATGAGGAGGAATTTTTGTCAAGTTGTTTGAACAGAGAGAGGAAGATGTAAATTAATTCTGATTTTTTAAAGGGGAAATGGGACCAATGTTTGATCCTGTGGCAGAGACCTGTTGTTCAGGTTGCAGGGTTAGCAGGATGAGTCTGTCAGGGAACTGGATTCTGCAACAGGTCAGAGACCTTGAATAGAACAAGAGGTTCCCAGAAGATTCATTTTTCAACATCACTGCAATACCAGAGAAACAAAGGATACAGACAAATTCACACTGAATAGTTAATACTGAAATTGGTCACTGGACAGCAGTTAGACAAGAGGATCGGGAGAAACCATATTTCTCTGAGCAAGGATGAGCCTGAGGGGCTGAATGGCTTAGCTGGGCTTTTCAATATACAAGGTTCTCTTGTTATTGGGAAGTGAAGCAATGAATAGTGAGCTGCTGCAGGAGAAAAGAAGGTAACTCGAGGAGGAAGAGAGAAGTTTCACTCTCTACCTGACCTGACTCTGGCCTGCTCAACACTGACAAAATTAAACCATTCCTTCCACAAAACAAACAAATCAATTAAGGCCCTGTGCATTAAATGAAACTGAATGATTCGACACCAGAGTTATTGACCGCACTACTTGGAGTTGTTGTCTTTTCCAGACTGGGTCACAAACCTGGGTTTTCCCCGAGTGAAAAATATGTCAAGTGAGAAATCAATGATGATATTCAGTCCAGTCTCTCCCCCAGTACCACAGGCCCATAGTTCATGCTGGTTTGGTGCATGTTCAGCCATAAAAATTCCAGAGTGTGACTTCATACCTCAGGTCAAAGAGGAAGATTCAGGGTGATTCCCCTGAATCAGTAGCTGTGAAAAGGAAACATATCTGTCACACAGACATTTTACAAACATGAGAATGTGACATACAGGGACTTACAGAGACAGCCAAAGAAACAGGCACACTGACATAAAAACACCCACATTCACAGAGACATACAGTAACAAAGAAAGAGACAGACAAACATACACAAAACACTTACAAACACATGGATCGAGGCAGACATAAATGCATAATTGAGACAGAAATGAAAACATCCATGGAGACTGGGAGAAATAATTCAACAGATACAAGGACAAACACAGGCACAAGTCTGTATTATTTTCTTACGGTTACGGTTTGCCAGATCGTAACCAGATTTCTTCTCTCCTCCTAAAAGAGACACAGACAAAAATATAACTTCAGTTGCAGTTCCCTTACACCGCACCGACACAAATTTACTCTGTACACAAGGGTGACATCATTTACACATAGCGCCCTCATCATTACCCACACAAATTCACAGTACACACACATGGGAACTTCCATTCCCAATTGGTCCCCAAACCACCTCGGGTAATGGCTCTCAACCATGGTAGTATTTCAAGCTGCTCCTACCTGTCAGTGACAGATCCGGTCCTGATGTCTTCCTTCTCCTCTTCCAGACAACCATACCAATGACAAGACCAATCAGAACAAGGACAGCAGCAACAATTCCAACAACCAAATGGTTATTTGTTCCCTGTAGAGACCTGGGAGATAGTTGAAATGCCTCAACTGTGGTGGTGGTGGTGGTGGTGGTGGTGGAGGAAGGGAGGGGAGGGGAGGGTAAACAATTGAGGAGGAGATCAATGATCAATGAATAATCACAGTCACTGCTCATTGAGAAACAGTTGTACCAAGGCTGAGTCTGCATCTTGAATACAATCTATGATGTGATCGGCCATCTAACTGGAGTATGATATTGGTTAGAAAGATGCACTGTGGCATGGATTACACTCTTGTGATTCACTTTAGGGAGGGAGATAATTAAATGAAGATTGATTTCTTTTCACAGACTTTACAATACTCATCATTCCAAACTCCATTCTAATCACTGACATGAGTGATGAATCACCAGAACAACCTCACAATTAATCCCCTTTCCGGTTGCACAATCAATTTATCCACTTCCCGGTCTCACAATCACTTTGTGAAAGTAATGGGAGTTCAAAGGTTTCTAGTGCAGCAAAGAAGTGATGCCATGATTATTCATAGATCCTGTTACAGCCTTGGAATGCTTGCTCTGTGGAATGAAGTGAGATAAGGGGTGCTGGTTTTGTGGGAAACCATTTAGGAAACACTGATTACAGTATCGAGGATAGGAATGGCTCTGGAAAAGGATACGTAAAAATTAGAAGGTTAAAAAGGGGGTTGGCCCAGGTGAATTTCTCAACATGAAGCAGTTAAAGAGCAGACGAGGAGGAGTAGGGTTGGTTACGGATGAAAAGTAGGGTTATCTTATTTAGTACATTATATATGCCCTCTGTCCACATGAGTGTTTAAAATCGAGCTTGACTAAAGATGATGCTATCAATGAAACACTAGAGTAGAAGGTTGTATGGGAATCAGATGGAATAAAGATAGATTGAGAAAAGGAACTGAGGTAAAAAGAATTGAAAGTCAAAAATGTCCTCCTGGCTGATGGGATGCATTTCAGGTTACTGAGGAAATGAAAGGTGAGGACTGCAGAGGCCCTGATCACCATCTTCTTATCTTTCTCATATGAGGGAGATGTCAGAAGGTTGGAAAATCACTAAGATTACACTCCAGGAGGACAGAGATAAACCTGGAAACTATTGACCAGTCACTATAACATCAACTGCTAAATAACTCAGACAATAGGAATAGGAAGTGACAATTCAGCCCATTTGTATCTGTTCCACCATTTGGTGAGATCACAGGTGATCTCTATCCGAACAACTTATTTCTTAATACTTTTAACAATCCAAAACTTTGTCAATATGAGATTTGAAATTAATTGAGTGAATTCTGCTTTGTTTTGTAGAAGAGAGCTCTACACTGCAAAGAGATGTTTTCAAGTGTCTCTCCTGGATGTGCAGACTCTGATTTGAAGGCTTTCTCCCTTTTCCTGCACTCCCCATCATGAAAAAGCAATCCGTTCCATCTACCTTACCAACTATTCCTTTCAGAATCCTAAAATGCTTGATAAAATCACCATGAACCGACTCCACTTCAGTGAAGACCAGACTGTATAAGTCAGCTCTCCTCATAATTAAACTCCTAAAATTGTGCAACATTTGAGTAAGTCTATGCTGAACTCCTTCCAATACTTTTCTATCTGTATCTTTCCGATGGAGCAATACCAAGAACTATATAAGAATTTAACCATACTTCAGATGTGACCCTAATTATAGCTAAACTATTAAATGAATGCATGGCACCTGTCTTCCCAAAGAAAGTAGATGATTTAGTGACAGTAAACTTGGAGACGGAAGTTATGGACAGGGTAGTGATTAGTGGAAAGATGTTTGAAAGTGGTTAGATTTATTATTTATTGGTTCCAGATGGAATGCGTCAGAGATTACTGAAAGAAGCTCCTATGTAAATGGCTGAAACTGGTCACATCTCTCGATCTTCGTTGGATACCGCTGAGAACCTGGAAGAGGGGAGATTCACTCCTGTTACAACATCATTCACGGAGAGAAGGATAAACCCAGGAAAGTACAGGGCAGACAGTCTAACAGCACTGGAAATCATCATCAGAGGCAAAATCAAGTTTCATTTGGAAAGGCATGGATTAAGGGAAGTTATGCCCGATTAACTTGGTGGAAATCTTTGAAGAAGTAGCAGGGAAGATTGATCAAGTTTGTGCAGCACATATTATCTCCATGGACTTGTTAAAAAA